TCCGTAACGGTTGAAACGGCCAGGAAATTTGAATAATTGTAAATTCGGGTAAAGTAGTTGATGTTGATTTTTGATTGTATTTTGTTTTGTTAAAGGCCGGTACGATGGGGAGACCAAACCATGGTTTTTCCAATGTCAAAATCAGCTATGAAGTTCAGTACAACGCCGAGACTAYTGGAGCTCGCGGTTGCGAAGAAGGATTTTAGGAAAACTGATCATGCTGACACGATGCCAAGGTTAGTTTTTATGACAGGGAATCAGTGCGGCAAGAAATACACCTCCATGGGGACCTTTAGTCATGTGCATTCTTCCTGTTATATGTACGGTTTTGCGCTGAGCTATTCTTGGTTTGTAGTCACCTTACTACAAATACTACTCAAAACAACAAACACAAGATATGACAGATGGCTATTGCACTCCAATATGGGCGCTGTGACGTCACACGCAAACCAAGGATAGACGAATCAAAACTACAGGACAAAAATTGAATGCAATCCTGAAAGAGAGCCGAGCAATCAGTTTTACAGCTAAATCAGCATTTCATACATGCAGGCTCCAATGCATTTTCATACTTGTCTGAACAAGACACCATTCAGAAGAAAGTTTGACGCTCTAAAAAAAGGCCTTTACATGCTTTTACGAGCAATTCAAACAATAATAGATAATAACGRWAAASCGCTGAAAARCCTACTTGATATTGATAGTAMATATWTTTTTGTACAGYGAAGCGTTTCAGTTTGGTTGTGGTCGATCTTCTGTCATCCTTGAGGTRAGCCCGTTAGCGATGAAAGCCGAGGCAAGCAAAAGAGTAATAGAATTAGCGAAACACAAAACAGCAATGAAGGAGTTTGAAGAACAACAAAGGTAACACTAAATACCAGCAGTAAATYATGTCCGTAATAGTGAGGGTGTTCGCAATAACGGGTTCTCAGTGRCCGAACGATTATCTGCCGAACAATAAACCTATGAAGATTATGTATTGTAGGATATGCTCGGGACCGAACATGGAGGATTTCTTTTTTGTTTTCTCCTAGAAACATATCCCACAATGCATTGAAAATCAAGTAGTGACGTAAAAGTTCAGAAGCCTATTAAACTCGCCTAGAAAAAAACACAGTTTGCTATGAATCGGTTGATTCGCATCAATTTGATCAACTCCAACAGAAGATATTGATGTGCGGCGAACGGAGAGTCTGCCCAACCAGTCAAACATTTCTTAAATTTAGACAATTTTGAATTGTTATAAATTATGCTTTTAATTCGATTCACACGAGCTCATTTTCTCCTATCTTTTTAATCTAAATGCGTTCTTTCTTTTGTATGTTGCATAAGAATACCATCATTAACATGGAATACGGTCGCGGCCATCTTGAAACAAAATGACTTAAAGTACAATTCTTACATACGTTAGAATTTCATGGAAAATTCGTTTCTTTGGGTGCATGATCTATACGCTTCAAATAGAGTTTTCAAAATAAAGGCTGCGGTCCATTGCGCTGTTTTAAAATGAACTAAGCCCATTAATTATTCTTACTATAATCGAAAATCAATTAGCGTCACCGTGACAATAGACTCATGCGTGACCTCTGGGTGTTACATGTCGTTGCTAAGCAACCAGTCATATTAAGGTTGACCTTACAAATATTTCATAACTATATTACCAAAGCATCGCTATCAAGATTTTACGGAGATATAAGGATCGTTTTGTTTGTAAACTGCATTGTAAAGATGGTAAGTAAGAAAGAAAACTCAGTACAAATATAAAAGCTTCTATTAGGGGATGAAGCCTCATATTTGWRGGCAATTTAAGWTCATTAAGTGTTTTGTCCGGCCATTTTAAAMACTCGAGTAAAATTCCACGTTATCAAATTAAGTTATAAAGAAATTGGAGCAAACAACGGAGGCATTTTCAAACTTGGTATTGTTGATTTTGTGTYATATTTTTGTATATGCAATAAAATTCATGTGATTTATCAATCATTATGCAAGCCATGAGCTGCTGCATGATCGTAATTTCTAGTCTYCAGAGCGAGCCGGGCGAGATGTTATAATGTCWCTATGCAGGCTATGTCCAGTTGGGAAATACGCATGAATTTTTAAAATCAGTCGCATTTACTGAAGAGCAGATGATACTTTAGTGGTCCCAGTGAACCCATTTCYCGAACACCTCCATATTACGGACAAAGTTTTTATTCGAACACCTCTTTATTACGGACATGCTTCGTACGAATATCTTTACATTACGACAGATATTTCTGTCATATAGCTCTGACCTGTGTTATGGACAGATTTAWATGAAAACCTCTGCATTGCGGACATATAATACGAATGCCTTGATGTTTAAAAAGATATTTTGTATAACTCTACTAAAATACTTGAAAATCTTCTTTCTCATCAGGACAAACTARATATTTAGCTGTGGTCGTAGTTCACCGATATGGGATGTAAGCGAAGGTGCTAAAACCGCTGAAGAACGTGAACGAACCATGCAACTTTCAACTCCTAAGAAACCCGATCCACGTTACCAACCAGAACGATCCGTAACCTGGCCTGTTTCTCAGGCCGCGAGAAGGGCGTCACCCAGCCCRCGCACGGAAATGCTTGCACGGCCTAAAACCCGAGCAGACAGGCTACACAGGGAACCCACTTGGAGAGTTACGTCAGCAGCTATGAGGACAGTGGCCTCTGCGAGAGTACAGGAGCTATCAAAGCCCAAGCAAACTGCAGAGGGTTATGAGCATTGTAGAGAGATAGCACAGCCGTTGCCTAGGAGTGTTCTACGTGCTATAGCAACAGAGAGGATCAAAAGTTTATCTAAACCCAATGTGCGCGAGACCATGGACCATGTTCAGTTCAACCCTGACGCTTTTAAAGTGAGTGAAACGGCACTCAAAGGTCGTATACCTGACAGAATAGCAGACCTCGCTCAGCCATTGAATAGAAACTAATCCATCAAAACCCCCTCATTAACGGACAAAACGACCAAAAGGTTCGGACAATGGTGAATGCATGCGACCAAAAAGCCTGGTTTGATTGGGTGCATATAGAGAAGACAGAAAAGCAAGGAATACCCTGGAAAATGGCCAATCAAAATGATCAGCTGAGATGCATGATAAAGTATAATAGCCCTCTACATTAGAACCCCCTCTATACTGGARTACATTGGTACCAACCAAAATGTGTAGTTTAATWGYTGATTTGCATGATGGCGTCATATACTACAACTACCAGAATGCCTTGCCTTGACTTTCTTTCATAAAATAATTAGTCCCACTTGTATTYCTAGTCTCCAAGTAGGTTAAAAATCTTAGTAACAAAGAAAATGCACAAGGCTTTCTGGTATTGTTGTAGTAAGTTATGCCATCATACAAATGTCTTTCTTGGTGTGCAACCACATGACCAGGAATCTCCTGAGAAATAAAGAACACCGCCATGTTGGATGAATYAACAAGAGAAYRTAATGAGGAATGCTTTGGGATTTGCATCCAACATGGCGGTGATGACGTAYCTTGCACGCRAAGAATTAGAGGGGCGTATGATAATATAGTACACAGATCTCCTTAGTCACTAGAAGTAATTTCACGAAGCCTGCATGTTGAAAAGTATTGCAACTAAAGTGTACCTGAAGTCATGACATATAATCTATTCTATTCTCACTACTCCACTTTGGAGAATGGAATATATCTATCGTTATATGTTGTACACATTGMTTATGCATTGGCAAACTGGAAACTACTACAATTATAGCGTCATAGCACTTGCAAATAATCCATAAACCTTCAGCTAGAACAAGGTTTGAAGAAAATAAAGAAACTAAGCTGCAAGTTAGTTCATGCAAAAGAGTTGACTTTTTATTTCACTTCTAAATATTTAAGGCTCACTATAACCTTTTGCTGACTGTCAATTTAGCCATACTTAAAAGTCAAGTTGCGTGTGGTGAATTGCATACATAATTTTCATTTCTTGCTTCCTTGAAGGGTCYCTACTTTTTTAAACTTCTGAATTTGTTACACAGAATCAGGTGTGAAAAGCATCCAGACTGACACTGGATCCTTAAGCAAATATTAGTGACTATAATTATTTTTTGGGTGTTAATTTTACTCTTACTTCAAGGTCTGTCTGCAATAATCTTTAAGTAAATATATTTTTCGAGTTTGTGATAAAATGTACAAAAAAGACTAGTTGCAATACTAACAAATCTTTTATAATTAATATAAATTAAAGTGTGAAATTATAAGAAAATATTCGTATTTTAAATTGTACATCAGTAAATATTATTTTAATCTATTGCAATGTTTTGTATAGATAACGAAGCCTGTACTTTGAAAGAATATCAATTCATGACTGAATAAAAGATTTGCCCATCAATTTGCATTATTTCCATCTGTTTTTACAGTAGAAGATAACTATTGTCTCCTTTGCAGCAGTTTTAATTGTCAGTGTCTGGCTGTCCCCAACAACTCAAAGGTACAATGATAAAATATATATATTTTTAAACACTTTTTTAAAGAAACACTTAGTGTATCAAAAGCACTAAGTCCAAGTCCCAAACAAGGCCCTCAGCTACCTGCCTTATATATACCTACGAATGAGCTGCATGTGGGTCATATACTTGAGGAAGACAGGAAGCCCAAGAGTAGAGAGAAGGGCAGAAAAGAATGGAGACCCCCAAGGAGGAGGTTAGCAAAATCTAATGTGCATGAGGATTCAAAAGCTAAAAGTGAAAACTTCAACAACGTGACGGAGTCAAAAACACTCAGAAAAATTAAGAATTAAATTGTCTTTTTTAACCCTTATTTTGAAGATGTTGGCTGAAATCTTGGCTTGATCTCAAGAATGCTTCACATTTTCTCTTTATTTGATTGGTTGTATGTTGGTAAATGTTCATTTTGTCTCTTGCCATAGCCTGAAATAAAATTGAGGAAAAATAAATAAAATTGGAGAATTRCCTCTGTGGATGAAATATAAAAAATCATAAYAATTATTTTGATAGAATTAGTTGGGCTTATCTCACAATAATTAAACTGTATAGTTTCATACCTTATAATCATTGCCATGTTTCTGGATAAGGTTCCATACAAACTGTGCTTCTCCAGGAGAAATGTGCCTTTCTTTTTTCTCTTCGGTTTGGGCTAATTGCTCAAATTCTGAAAAAAATAACACTTCAAATGTTTAGTATATAATAGTTTCTGCAATTAAAAAGAACAGTATTTCGGGCTTCCTGTGAGAATGGGAATTTACTAAAAATGAGATTGGTTACCCTCACTCCTAAGGACCATCTAATTAAGTTATGATTAATAAAGATCATGAGAGAAATGTTAATGAGAGGAAACTCCATTAAACACCAGTACAAACCAGATAGTGTTAGTGGGATTGAGCATGTAAATGAAGTCTAACTGCAGCACAACCAATCTTAACATTATATGAAATACTAGTTCACCTTGCACAACTGATGTAGTGGAATCTACTTCCATRGTCTCCTCGCCCTCTGTTTTCTTCTAAAAWAATGATATGTWAATACAACCCATGATAAAATAGACTGAATCAAAACACAGGTAATCAAAGCTCCTTACGCTKAATTCATATAATTATTTATAAACATGAAGATGATCTCTGTGTCTTTACCTTTTTCTTGATGACTGGCATGGACATGTTTACATCACAAGATAGTCCAAGATCTTTAAAGTTTTGTTTCATTGTTTTGGAGTGATCCCAGTGCTTTTGAATCGTTTTACTGRAGATGAAATCAAGATATGAGGGTTTTGAGGGTTTGGGGGAGTTGTGAGATTCATATTCCACAGTTATAATTGTCTTGTACACTTAATTTCTTGGTCTGGTTTGAAGCAGTTCTTTAAAAACGATAGATTTGATGTTTTTATCACATTTATTGCCCGACAGTTTGTAAATCGAGCCACGTGGTTTAATTACTAACTTTTGAATCTTGATTTTCTTCTTTATCTTCTTTTTCTTTTGCGCTGGTCTTGTTGTATTAGCCCTTTTGTTTCTCCTAGACTTCCTTGCTCTTACTCCAGTCATCTTTAACCCSAATTTTCTCACCAAGAAAAACTAAATTTTGTTTTGATGTTCAAGCTATGTGAAAATCTTCAAGGCGTTGCTGTATGATAGCGATAGAGTGGGTTGAGTAGAGACCAGTCCTCACACAGTCGGCGTCTGAACGAAAAGGAACTGGGTAACGAAAAGAAAGCAAAATGGCGGCAAACATCGATAGTTCGAGAAGAAACTTGTACAGTATTTCTGATGAAAGTGGAGGAAATACGAAAGGTCCAGGAGAAGGAACAAGCAGAAGAATAACTAGTTCGTTAGACAGGTCGCGCCAAAGCTCGGAATTTCATCCTAAAGACTCGACAATTCATGACATTTGGAAGGTACGATTCAAATCTTTGCTGTCAATGTTTGAAATTCGCACGTGTTAGAATACATGTACAAATAGAAGAGAAACTTATGCGACACTGGAAGAGTCAAATTTGAAATTAGTCCCAAAATGTCTTGGGGATTTTATTGATATGTGCAACCATCACAGACAAAAGTCGACACCATAGGCAGCTGAAGGGTTTAAAATTGACAGATGTCTATTAAGTTATTGATTGATTGACAGCTGTGTATATTTTTTTTGGAACATGAAGCATTTTCATTCTATTTACAAAATAAAGACTAGGTCTTACTTGGTCTTACTTATACTACGTCTGAGTGTGTGTTTTAGTCAAACTGCGAAAATACATGAAACTGTCAATGACTATTATATATTCAAACTATTATTTAGTATTCACAAGGAACCAGTGAGTTTAACCCGGAAAAAATGGATAGAGAAGTTGATTTTAGAAGACAAACAAGAAACCAGAGGTCAGTCATTATGTATTCGAGTCAATTCCAAAGGACCTTTGGAATTGACTCATACATTAGCCTGAATGAGTTGTACACTATACTGTTAGAACAAAGATAATGATTTGATGAAAAATTGTTTTCGTCYCGTTGTCTCGATCAATCACAAACTTCTTTCTGATGGTAGTGGTCGACATGTCTGAATATCAGCCGCCTCCTTGGGTCATGTTGCTTATTCCCAAACATTGATAGGTTATAAGCCTGCTTTATATGCTTTTTAAAAATGCCATTTAAAAATGGTTGGAAATAAAGTAACTACTCCTATCAGTAGACTATAGTAAAGCAGTAAGATTGTCAAGGCCATAAATATCAATAGTCTGCAAGAAGAGCTAATGGTTTATTATGAGTTTGTCGAAATGTTAAAAAACTTAGATGCATGCCAAAAGTAAACATCTTGCATATTAGTGTTGTTTATTAATCAATCTAGAATGTGATCGCATTGTACATTGTACATGTACATGCATATGTAGTTAATTACTTCTCTTTCTAATATTGTTTTCTTTTAGTGAATTTGGAACAATAAGAGGTTCAGCTTGCCCTCCAGATAATACTGTCAGTACGTCAAAGAGAAGAAGTAATATACAAAAATGTATCCTCACATAAGATTTATGAGGCTAACCTTAAATAACCCTAATTGATTGCAGGGCTACGTGATGTTTGCTGGTTGCTTGTTTACATGTATATCTTTAAAGAATCATAACCAACTACCATACCTTGCACGCTAGTATTATTGTTTACATACGTTTAAATACGTTAAGCATACAATAAATTATAGATTGATATCTGTGAGGTACTTAGTTAAATATATTTCTGTCCAAATTGAAAGGATGGAAGACAATTCGRGCCCACTTTAAGAAATCCTACGAATCCGCCATTTTCGTGTCCACCTAYAATGGCGCTTCGGCTCGCAAGGTATGGAAGTTGGTTATGATTCTTTAAATCCAATCATCAAGAGCTGTTCTGAACAATAGTACAGTAATAGTATGCATAGTATATTCAAATGCCAGCACAAATTTTAAGATTAGAACATGCTGTTTATCTGCTTGCAAACTTGACTAGTYCAATAGCTTTACAGCTGTTAAATGAAGCAGTTGATTCCAGCAGACCTTTCCTGACAACAGCGTCTTCTATGCAAAAAGCTGCACATACACCGACACCACTGCTACAAAGAACTCCAATGACACAACTACGACATAGCACTTGTGAGTTTCAATTAAATGATAACAAATCTTAATTCAGAGGTTTAAACAGGTAGTGGATCTGAGTGAGAATTACCTATAGTTGTGTCGAAYGGGTTTTTATAAGAAGCTGATAAATTGAAAAATCCAGTATAACTAAGCACTTGTTGCTTTTCATAGGCTCCTATTCCAAGTCATTACAAATTATTATTCTATAAATTGCAAAGTATATAAGAATGTAATAATGATTATGAATGAAATAAATTGATTTATTTATTTATATTATTGCTCTCTACTTTGTGCAAAATTGGTTGTAGCACTTGTGGGCCCTATTGATTCACTTACAATCAATGCAATGGCAATTTTTCAGTATTGCCACCTACAGTACTTTCACCACCCTGGTGGTGATCCTTAGTCAAGTTGTAGAACCAATTTTGATTGACTATGCAACAGTCAGAGATACATGTACATGTATGATACAGCAACACCTTGTACAGTTACTGATTGTTGCCTTCAGGTGACACAGTTTTAATAGAAAAATTGAATATTAGGATGATAGTTGAAGGTTTTTTTTTGTTCATTTGATAGATACACCAAGTGGAGTGTCATCAGTAGCTGAGACAGACCCAGATGTTGTGGTTTGTATTGTACACCATTGCTTATCTTAAAGCAACAGATATAGTGTTCTATACTTAGTACATGTAGTTGTGATAGTTATTTAAACACTGATCTGAAAGACTTGCTGACCTTGGATGTTATTCCTTTGGGATTGTGAAAAAAATGAAAAATGGTCAAGAATACTTTAAGTTTTTGAACTTATTCTTACTTTTTTATCACACTACTGTTCAATAGAAGTAACTGGCACAGCAATCATAAAAATATGCATCTTCCATATAGTAGAAAAACTAAATAAGTATTGTTGGTGGATGGGAAATAAGACAGTTTGAACTTGGGCATAGGCTCCACCCTCAAAATTAAAAGAACTCARCGTTCATAGAGGAGGTTATTATATAATGGTGTTGTTCAGTTTTGAGAATGGACACTTGCCAAAAATACCAAATGGTCTTTAGCATTTGACTATATTGGAGCTTGAATCCATGACTCATAGAGGATAATAATTACATGTACATGGATGCGCGGAAAAACAGATTTTATCTTTTTCACAAGTTAGGGAGCAAAAGTCGGTTATTCAATGCATTTGTGGAAAAGTCACAGTTAAAACAAAAGACTAAAATCAGGTGTTTTTTTATGACAGGACATGTCAATGATGAGCAATGATGTTGTTCACGGAAGGTCAATGCTTAGTGGTAGCTTACCAAGACAAGTTAATCAGACACCGGGATACCTTATGGTATGCTTGATACATGTGATATGTTACCCACTGTATGCTGTCATTTTATTGTCACTTTATTTACAGTAAAAACCCTTGCATCGCAACCCCAAAGTTACATGTATATCCAATAGAAGAAAGTCCACCAAATTCGCCAAAATTAATTTAAGTTTCAAATCAAAATGACAAAAATTCTTCTTAGCAGTGATACAATGGTTTTTGCTCTAATATACATTTTGCATATTGTATCATTATCATTCATATAATGTTTTGTGCATAAATTAATATAGTACTTAACTCTGTCTTGGTGTGGAACTATTCTTCTTTGATCCATTGCAAGCTTGATTCTTCTTATTTGTTGAGAAACACAGTTTACAAGTGCATGTACAGTATTTAAAAATAGCATTTTGAATTTACAGGGTTCAATATCACTAATGGATGACACTGGTTTTACATCATCTGTTACTCCAATGAAGCCATTAGCAGGAATRGCAGATGTGGGTATTCAAAGTTGTCTATTATAAAATGTTGAATTACAGTTAGTAATGTTAAAATTATTGGAAATAATAAGCTTAAGATTGATACACATTAACACAACTTTCAAAATGGTGGCAGTTCGCAATATCAATATCAATATCAGGGGACCACTGACTAATCCTGGAAAAAAGACTTCAAAGGATTTTAAAATAACACTACAAAGATCACATGTATGGCAGTGTCAAAGTTTGAGAAATGTAATTAAGATATATAAAACGGCGCGCGTGTCTCTGTCCTCTGATATAAACACAGTGGTAGTTGTAAAAACACGAGAGAAGCAAGCTTAGGAACAAGAGCGTAGCGAGTGTTTCTCTTGCTTCTCGAGTGTTTTTCAACTCCCACCGTATTTATATCAGAGGACAGAGACACAAGCGGCGGTTTTATATTTCTTTTATAAAATTTTTCGAGCGAAAAGAAAATTTTGCCGATGGCGGTAAGCCGTGTCTCTGTCCTCTGATATAAACACGGTCGTCAGCCAATCAGAGCGTGCGTTATATTATATATCAAAAATTTTATAATGATAAACAAYACACTCAGTGCATCGAAGTTTACTATATGGAGGTTGGCTTTTGAGACCTCGTTTTAGTGCTTCCTCCCTTGGTTGATGGCCATTACATGTACATCATTGCTGACTTAAAACATGCATAGTATTGATGCTGATTGAGATGGTTTATACAATGTAATGTTTGTTATCAGGATTTAACTACAGATTTAAGTCAAGTTGATGTTACTCAAACCGCCAATATCAGCATATTGACAGACAAAGACCCTGTCGTCACAGGTAATAATTTGTTTGTCAGTTGAATGGAAACTTYGCACAATTTAATATGACTCCAGTAAAGTATGTTTTTTTTCCTTCTTATTAGCAAGCTCAGCTCTTTTTCAAGAGTTCAAGGAAAGCTTAATAACCTATCCACACTCCACTCATGTGTTTGATTTGGTTCAGGCTTATGAACAGGTAATTTTATTTACGATTTTACGGAGCAACTTCTTGTGTTAAAATAGGAAACAACCTTTTAAGTGCACATAAAGGAATTTATGCCTGACGTACATATCATGTAGCATACCTCAGATGTTCTTTGACGTCCTTCATTGCTATAAGAATTTGATGAAATTATCCAACAACTTACAATATTCACCAAAATGTCATCTAACTATGACTAAGTTCACTATTGGATGCTGACTCTTGATACAAATAAATTATTTGTTTTGAAGACTGCTATGTTTTTAATCATTCAATAAGACCACAAGACCTGGTATAAAAAGCACAGGAAGCCCAATTAAGCGATTTTTCATGGGCTTAATCACCTTAAAAACCCTTACTATTTCAATTTTTGAATTTCTTTTCATCAAAACATATTTAAGGACTGTTAATCTMCTGAGTATTTTAAGTGAATACTTTTGAAATGTTATTCTTTCAGGCATGTCGTAAACAAGTCCATCAGTTGGACAGTCTTGTTACTGCTGCAAGACCAGGCAAATCAATGTGAGAAAATACCCACCTTGATATTATTTAATTATTATCCATTTTATCTGTACTATACTGTCTCGTTTTGTTGAATATTGCAGGCAAAATATTGCACAAAGTTTTATAAAGACTTTTGATTTAACAAAGCCATTTATAATACGTAAAAAAATATATGTAATTTGTTCAGTGAGTCACTCAGTTGAGCCTTTAGTCAATCATTCAGCTTGTTAGCCAATCTTGAGCCCAGAGTCTTCAAAGCTAATGTCAGCAGTCTGGATGGCAAAAGTCCAAGATCTGGGTAGAAGATTATTTGTTAACTGGTCAGTCAGCTGATTAGTTATTGGCAGTAGAGTACACGCCAAAAAAGCATGAAACAATTCTTAACTATCAACATCTAATAAGAGTTAGCTATCAACAAACTAAGAATTCACTGGGGCATGAGCACAATACCAGAAAGGAAACTTGTCTTTGTTTATGCCTCACTAAATTCTTAGTTAGTTGATAACTAAATCTTATTAGGCGCTAATTACTTAAGAATTGTTTCATGCTTATGTGGTGTGCGCTCTATTAAAGAGCTATTGTTTCCTTTGTTTTGAAAGAGATGGAAGTTGGAAGTTTCTTTCTGATTGGTTAAAAATAAAAGCATATGCAAAGATTCTGTGCAAAAGGTTCTCATTCACATGAGCCTTTAAATTATTTGAGTTTTTTTCATGACATTTTTCAGATTTGCCAAGAAAGTTGGTATTCTAATGCTGCTCACCCAGGAGAGTTACTCCTGGAGGTTGATTGGCTCGCTCTTCAAGTAAGTAATGAAATAAAGAGCAATTATTATTCATTTTGACCAAATATTTATTCTTACTAAAGCCTAA